CCCAATCCCCGGGGCCAGCCCCTGCCACCCTGCACACGGCCCCAACTCCCCGGGGCCAGCCCCTGCCACCCTGCACACGGCCCCAACTCCCCGGGGCCAGCCCCTGCCACCCTACACACGGCTCCAACTCCCTGGGGGCCAGCCCCTGCCAGGCACAGTCCACTCAGGGCCAGCAGCATGAGCCCAGCCTGCCACAATCTCCCCGTGCTGGCACTGGGCCAGCAGCATTCATGACTTCCCAGCTCGGCCTGTGCTTGCCCGCCGGGTTCCTGCTGAGTTACTGCTAATGAACAAGGCCATGAGGGACTTCCTGCCAGGAGCAAGTGGGGCAGAAAGCAGAGGAGTGGGACAGTGGGACACAATGGTGGTGACCCCTCACCCTGTCTCCACAGGGCCAGCCAGGCACCCCCTTCACTGTGAGCAGCGAATGGGGCAGAGGAGCCATCCGAGGCACCGGCGGTGGGCTGCAGCACGCCCCCCAAAGTGTTGTCTGGCTGTGGGGGCAGGTGAGCGCATGTAGGCAAGCCCGTGAGTATGCACGGGGCAGGAGCACCCACGAGTGTACGTGTGTGAGCAAATGTGTGTACCCATATTAGTGTGTGTGCACACGTGTGTGTACATGAGGTTCCAATGAAAGAGGAGCAGCCCCTCTCTGCGACAGACACAGCCCTCTCCCTCTGTGTGCCCGAGTGACAGAGAGGCAGTCCTGGGCGCAGGGGCACAGACTCCACCCGCTGTCAGGAACGCTTCCTGCCTCCAGGGAGTAAAGCGGGTAGTGCACAAGGGCAGCTCCGGCCTGTAATCACACAGGAGCCCTCCGCCAGCACACACTTCGAATGCAGGAGGGCCGGCGGCTGACCCAGGCACGGCTAGGTGATGTGTCAGGCGGTGTGCAGTGTGGTATGCTGTGTAGTGTGCTGTGTGGAGTGCTGTGTATACACACATGTATGCTTATATGTGTGAAAAACATCACATATTAAAATTTCCGGGCCCGGCGCGGTGGCGCAAGTGGTTAAGTCCTCGCCTTGCACGCCCGGGATCCCATATGGGCGCCGGTTCTAATCCCGGCAGCCCCGCTTCCCTTCCAGCTCCCTGCCTGTGGCCTGGGAAAGCAGTCGAGGACAGCCCAAAGCTTTGGGAACCTGCACCCGCGTGGGAGACCCGGAAGAGGCTCCTGGCTTCGGATCGGCATAGTATCGGCCCGTTGCGGCTCACTTGGGGAGTGAATCATCGGATGGAAGATCTTCCTCTCTGTCTCTCCTCTCTGTATATCCGCCTTTCCAATAAAAAAAAATAATAAAAATAAATCTTTAAAATTTCCTAAAAATTCTTGATACTACATGACTGTTAAAAAGTTCAAAATAGGGCCTGGTGCAGTAGCCTAGTGGCTAAATCCTCGCTGTGCCTGCCCAGGATTATATATGGGCACTGATTCGTGTCCTTCACTCCCTGCTTGTGGCCTGGGAGAACAGCAGAGAACGGTCCAAAGTCTCGGGACCCTGCACCCGCGTGGGAGACCCGGAAGAAGCTCCTGGCTCCTGAGTGGATCAGCTCAGCTCCGGCCACTGCGGACACTTGGGGAGTGAACCAGAGGATGGCAGATCTTTCTGTCTCTTCTTTTATCTGTAAATCTGCCTTTTTAATAAAAACAAAGTAAATGTTAAAAAAAAAAAGTCCAGAATAAACAGAGAGCAGAAGGTACACCTGACAGTCCAGCCTGGGCCCCGGGACGGCGTCGGGGGCAGCCTGCGGGGCAAGCCGCCAGCGCCTGGTTGACAGATCAGCTGGGAGCGGGAGTCGGGGATGGGGGGAACACAACGGCAAAGGACAGCCAGGCAACATGGCGCCATCCTCGAGAAACCGGACAGCAAGCGAAGGCGGAAAGCAGAAGCGGCAGCAGAGTCCAGCCGAAGGAGGCACACAGCACCTGCTACCGTGCCAGGAATCCCCGTGCCCGGGGTCACCACCACCCAGTCCTGGTCGGAGAAGGAGCAAGGCCGTGGTCAAACACAGCAGCCAGGCGGGCAAACCTGCCCAAATGCGGACGGCGGGAGGCAAGGAGAGGGCATGAGCGCCGAGCGCCTCGCGACCGTGAGGCCGGCCCACTGCTGATACAGGGCTCAGGACGCCGCCCCAACTGCAGGAGCCAGGCTTCCTCCAGGCCCCACGCGTGGGCACAGGACACCGAGCATGTGGGCCGTGCTCCACTGTGTTCCCAGGCACATGAGCAAGGAGCTGGATGGGAAGTGGGGCAGCTGGGATGTGAACCAGTGCCCACATGGGATGCCGTTTCTGCAGCTGGTAGTTTAGCCTGCTAGGCCACAATCTCCGCCTCCGGAATTTAGCAAACAGAGTGAAAGTTCCCAAGTCACAGGTTTCTTCAAAATCAGACTTGACCCTGCCTGTGTCCGGCGAGAAGCACAGCCCAGCACCCTGACCCCGCGGCTAAGGCGCTGGCAGGGACACCTGCGTCCCACGCCGGGGCCTGGCTCCCAGACCCGGCTCCTGTCATTGCAGAGCCCAGGACGCGTGGCAATGCCGCCGGGGGCGGGTCCCCAGGGGCCAGTCGGGCGGGACGTGGGAATCCGAAACACAAGGTCTACCTCTGAGCTTCAGCCTGGCTCAGGCCTGGTCAGTGCGAGTGTTTGGGAAAGGACTTCATGGCCGGGAAGGGTTTCCCTTCTGTATCTCTCTGAAATCTTTTATTAATAAGTGCAAGAAAACAGTTAAAAAGATTGAGAGCAGAGAGATCTGACAATGAACCCTAACCTCCCACGCACAGAGCAGCAACTCTGACAAGAAGGGCAGACCGCAGAGGGACTGCCGGGGACCCCGACCCCAGGAGGGACTGCCGGGGACCAGCCCAGGCCCAGCACTGGGCCAGGGCCACGAGCAGCGGGTGGCCTGAGTGTGCCCCCGCGCCCCCGCTGCCTGCCCAGTGACCATCTGTATCACTTTTCACTTCCTTCATTTTCTCCAAACTGGCAAAGTGCAAACCATGGACATGCCAGTTTCTAAATGCACGTACTAGACAATAAAGGGCATTTAAATATATTGAAAATTGATGAAGAATTTGGCCAGAATATTTCTAATGTAATAATCCAATCAGGCCATGCGAGACTGCTTCCAGCTACAAGTCAGTAAAATGCACATTAAGGATGTTAGCTGCGGGCCTGGCTAAAGTCCTCGAATGACATGCACCAGGACCCCATATGGGCATCGGCTCAAAGGCTTGGGACCCAGAAGAGGCTCCTGGCTCCTGGCTCTGGACCGGCTCAGCTCCGGCTGTTGCAGCTACTCGGGGAGTGAATCAGTGTACGGAAAATCTTCCTCTCTGTCTCTCCTCTGTATATCTGACTTTCCAGTAAAAATAAAAATAAATCTTAAAAAGAATGTTAGCTGCAAGCCAATGTTATTTTAATTTCTGTTGTTTATGCATGAAACCAGTGGAACAACAGCCAGTGGCAGCAAACATACCTGAAAACCACAAGCTTCCTTGTGATTCAAGCAGGGAAGTGGGGTTCACTACATGTGCATGGTGGGCGGGGCAATGGCAGGGTGGGCGGGACAGGACGGCGGATGGGCGGGGCGATGGCAGGGTAGGCGGGACTGCGGAGGGATGGCAGGGTAGGCGGGGCAGGACGGGGGGGGGGGGGGTGATGGCAGGGTGGGCGGGGCAGGACAGAGGAGGGGCGGGGGCGGGGCCCGGGTGGGGCGGGGCCAGGCCAGCTGGCCGCTGAGGTCACCAGACTGCCTGCACATCTTCCCAGCAAAGAACCAGCCAAGAACACATTTCCCCCCAAAGATGCACATGGATCTTCTCTGTTAACGAGACCAACAGGGTCTTGGCTGGTGAGCGCGGGGCAAAGCCCCCCAGCTGGAGGGGCACGGAGCCCTGTGTGGGGACACAGCTGCCGTCTGCCCAGAGGGGAGGGCTGTGTCTACCCCCGCCACCCTCACTACCGCCCACCGACGGCTGAGTCGCTCCACGCCCTGCACTGCTCACAGACCACGCATGCAAGTCAGGCACGGTCCTGTGGACATCGCTGCTCACACATCACAACTGGAAAGCTTTTTTCCTCTTTCCTGGGAAATATTTACCTCGACAGGTCAGTGTTTGTCACATGACCTGCCCGACGGGCAGACCCAGGGGCGCGCCTAAAAGCGGCAGAACACTCTAGGGACACACTGAACTTGCCCTTATCGCAGAAAGGACACGGCTCCACGGCACGGGTGACCGTGGCTGCTCGCGGGCAGTGCTCCACAGTGGGCAGTGCAAACACAAAAGGCCAAATGTGCGCACGCTAAACTTCGTCTCGTTCAGGCTTTGTCACTGTCTGCGCCACCCTCTGACAAAGGGGGGAACCATGAGGGTGCGATAAACCCGGATAGACCCAGCGGGAACCCCCCTGGCCCACAGGCCGGGCACCCACCGGGCCCACAGGCCTGGGTCGGACACCCAGCACTGCCACTGTCTGGATGCACAGCCCTCGAGGTGCGGGTGCTATAAGCCCAGATGGAACCAGCGGGCACCCACCCTGGCCCGCTGGCCGGGCACCCCCTGGGCCCCTACCCCCAGCACTGCCACGTCTGAACGTGTGACCCCAGAGGTGCGGGTGCTGTTTTCACACTCCCAGACAGGCCACAGGACAGAGGCCTCTTAATTTAAACGGCCCCTTCAACTTCTCTTTAGAATTCACTGTTGAATTCAAACATCAAATATTAATTAAAACAACCAAGCAAAACGGCTCTTTATTAGCCGAGCAGCACGTGGGCTCTTAGACGGGCGCTCCGGGGGCACCTGTGAACTCTCCTTAAACACATGACAAAGAAACACCAGCAGCCCTGAGACGTGGCGTGGCGTGGCGTGGTGAGTGTCTCCCCAGACAGCGGGGCTCGGAGGACCCACGGCATGAAGCGGGAAGCCGTGTCCAGGGTGTCCCGAGCCCCCCAGCCCTTCCCCAGACACAGTGTCCCGCCTGCCACCCCGCCGCCCTCACCTCCAGCTCCTGCTCCCGCTGCAGAGCAAACTGCTTGAAGGACTTGACGATGAGGCCGGCATTGGAGCAGTCATAGACGAAGATGGAGGGGCTGCCCATCCACGTTTGCAGGTCGTACACAGACAGCGGGATGTACTGCGTGTAATTCTGCAAAACAGAGTGCGCATGCGTTACCCAGCGTCTGGGGCAGCCCAGCCGGTCACCCCGGCAGGACACAGAGCTGTGCTTGGCTGCAGCCCAGGCAGCGTCACAGACGCCCACAACATCTCCACGTCCACTCAGAAGACAGCTCCCCGCGGGAACGCAGGGCCGAGTTCCTCTGTGGCCGCCACCGGCTGAGCCACTCGCAGTGGACCTCAACCCACCCAAGAATGGTGTGCCAACCCTCCAACACCAAGGTGCCGTCCTGTGGCTCTGCATGTCAGCACTCTGTGAGGAGTGGAAGGGTGCCACTGGATGAACCCCGAAAACCTCTGCCTGCAGCCCATGCTGGCACCGAACTTCCCTTGGGACCACCACCCCCTCACCCCGCATGCCGGCCTCTCCTTGGGTGCCGCGCATCTGGCAGGAGGCCAACTCTGCACACCGCAGGACGCTGGCGTCTGTCCCAGCAAGAGCAGGTCCTGACGGGACAGAGGCCAGGGCCCCTGCATGGCGGGCCAATCGAGTACGCTCCGCCACCTGGTGCTGTCAACACGACCCCGGTGGCTTGCACGTTTCTATTCATCACGCTGTGCAGGAGACACCTGGAAAGGCTCTCCCTAAATGAACTCTCCCTGAAGAATTGTAAAGATGTCAGCTCTTCCTTAATGAATCTACAAAGCCAACACAGGCCCAATCAAAGAGCCCACAGGGCTTTTCCTTTAACGGAATGTGACAAGCCGAATCTAAAGTTAGTGTAGAAGACAAACGCACCACAACAGGAAAAAAATCCTAATGAAGAAAAATGAATAGGGGCTCACACTGCAGATATTAAATATACCATAAATCCATGGTAATTACAGAGTGATATTAGCGAGGGTGAGGAAACCAATCGAGAGGAGAGAGCCCAGAAACAGATGGGCACATGAGCGTGCCGCAGGCGCCTCGGGGGCGTGCCAGGCGATCGCACAGAGCCTCGTCGGAAGAAAGGCCCCTCACCCGTCAGAGGACCCACACGTCTGACGCACAACACCAACATACGGGACATGCAATCTAGGGAACTGACAGAAACCAAGTCACTCTGATTGATATAAGAATGTGTGACACGGAGTGGGTGATTGGGGCACGTGCACATGAGCTGCAGAGCAACAAAAGACATGAATAAATCAATAAAACCCAGATTACGGGCCCGGTGGCATGGCCTAGTGGCTAAAGTCCTCGCCTTGAAAGTGCCGGGATCCCATATGGACACCAGTTCTAATCCCACTTCCCATCCAGCTCCCTGCTTGTGGCCTGGGAAAGCAGTCGAGGACGGCCCAAAGCTTTGGGACCCTGCACCCACGTGGGAGACCGCGAAGAAGTTCCTGGCTCCTGGCTTTGGAATGGCTCAGCTCCAGCTGTTGCAGTCCCATGGGGAGTGAATCACCAGACGGAAGATCTTCCTCTCTTTCTCTCCTCCTCTCTGTATATCTGACTTTCCAATAAAAATAAATAATAAATCTTAAAAAAAATAAATCAATAAAACCCAGATTAATATGCATGCTCCCCTCGCCCCTGCAGTAAGAGGCAACTCAGAAACAATCAATCCACAACTAGACTTCCACACTGTGGGGGCATCCACCTCCAAGCGCCAGGATCCCACATGGGTGCTGGTTCTAATCCCGGCTGCTCCACTTCCCATCCAGCTCCCTGCCTGTGGCCCAGGAAAGCAGTGGAGGACAGCCCAAGGCCTTGGTATCCTGTACCCATGTGGGAGACCCAGAAGAGGCTCCTGGCGTAAATTTAAATAAGTAAACATTTTTAAAAAGTTGCACACTTTTGATGAACTGTGGGACTCCCCTAAGGAGAATCTACCAAACCCTCCACTATCCCATGCAAGCACTAGCTGGGCCCTACCCTGCCTGGCTTCCGAGCTCAGCCGTGTTCGGGGGGTGCGGCCGAAGGGCTCTCCCCTGAGTATCAGGACCACGTGGACACCTGTAACACCATCTGTGGCCCGTGGGTATCAGGACCACGTGGACACCTGTAACACCATCTGCGGCCCGTAGCAATGATCAGCTTTGAATATCAGCACTGCAGCTTCACTACAATTTCGAGTCATGCCTGAAGCTGTCTCGGCGGGCCATGCGGCTCTGTGAGCCTCACACAGCTGCAGCTCAGACAGCCCCAGCCCTATCTCGGCGGGCCATGCGGCTCTGTGAGCCTCACACAGCTGCAGCTCAGACACCCCCAGCCCTGGCTCCAATCGCTCTGGGTCAGCCAACTTATTCGCTGTCAGTGGGAATGAACACCAGTGCAGCTTTTGGGAAGGCCACTGGACAGCAGCGGGGAATGCACACTCCCATTGCTTCTTGGTGACCTGTGGGCAGAGCTGCACTGCAGCCCAGGGGCAGCATACACATGGCACTCCAAGGGACATCCAGGGTCAGAGGCCGCTGCAGCAATGCCCAGCTCCCTTTGTAAGCCTGGCCCAGGGGACAAGCGTGGGAGTGAGGTGGGCAGAGGTGGGCATGGTCCATTACTGGAGAGGTCACCGCTGGCCCACAGCGGCACTGACAAGGTGGCCACATGGATTTCACATGAAGGTGGACAAAATTCTATTTCATATATTTTAAAAATCCCCAAATTGAGTGGCTTCTCTTAGTATCTGTCCTGACCCTGACAGGGCCAAGGTTAAGGGATCAAGAGGCAAAGCAGGCCACACGTGTGGTGACTACGGAGTTCGAATCCCCGGTACGGAAGACAGTAGGCAGGCAAGACTCACAGAGGCACCTACGGCACAGCCCCCACCCGCCCACAGGGAGGACCGTGTCCACGCATGCTGAGGGGCAGAGCACACTGCCACGGCCTGCAGAGGGAAGGAGTGGCCACAGCTGCTGCTTCTGCACTTGGTCCAGCTGCTAAGGTGTCAATTAGACAACCCTGTGTCGCGTGCGGTTCTGTGTCCCCTCCCGCCTACTTCCTGCTACTGCAACAGGAGCCCAGCCCCAGCTCCAGCTCCGGGCCCAGAGAGAAGAGGGGGGCTCAGAGAGAAGGGGGGGGCCCAGAGAAAAGGGGGGGTCCAGAGAGAAGGGGGGCTCAGAGAGAAGAGGGGGGCTCAGAGAGAAGGGGGGGCTCAGAGAGAAGGGGGGGCTCAGAGAGAAGGGGGGGCTCAGAGAGAAGAGGGGGGCCCAGAGAGAAGAGGGGGGCCCAGAGAGAAGGGGGGCTCAGAGAGAAGAGAGGGGCTCAGAGAGAAGAGGCTGCGAGCTCAGGCTCTCAACCGCTGTCAAATTAAAAAACAAACAAACAAACAAAAAACAGTCCCCAACAACTTGTGTTCTGTGGCAATCTCATCTAACAGGAAGCACTTCCAGTAAGACAGGATGTGCGGACTACTGGCGGGAGGGTGTGCAGGTGTCAGAGCAGCAAGCACATCTCGGCAAACGCCACATGACAGACGCTTCAGGAGCACCAGCTCTGTGGGGCAGACTGCTGGTCCCAGCTGCCTGGGACACAGGGCGCTTCCCCAGCCCCAGCACTGCCCTGGCATGAGAGGGGAACACTGGGCAGGGTCCATGGGCACCGCCTGCACTGGCACGACAGGAGCTCTGGTAGTAGCTTGGAAATCATGTGCCACTGACTTCCTTCCCAGCAAGATCTTGGCTCGGACACACAAAAACGCAGCTCATCTGGTGCTGACCACGGTGGGTGGCAGGGTCAGTGTGTGGCTGTCAGCCAAGTGGCACGTGCTGCCATCTTCACTGCCATCTAGGCACAAGCCGCCTGCGAGGCCCCGGAAGCCAGAGAGCTGCAAAAATCAAATGTATCTCAGTACACACTGCTGCAGCCTCGCCCTGGAGTGGGAATCCAGTCCCCAGACTGGCCAGACTCAAAATTTCTGAGACACAAAGGCGATCCATGGTGCCTTCTGGTGACAGTGAAGCGGGGCAGGGTGCTCCGGGTGATTGGGGCACCCACACCTCATGGTGGGACACCTGGCCTTCCAGTTGAGCTTCCGCTACGGCACAGCCTGGGAGGGAGTGGTGATGACCCCAGCCCTGGGCATGACGAGGCCGAGTGGACCAACCTGTGGGAGATCCAGGGAGCACACCTCTGCCTGTCAGATAGATTAAATACATAAACCTTGTCAAGTGCTAAAGTATTGAAATGCTAGGAAAACCGGTAATGACTGTCCCACTACACTAAGGGACCAGAGGCCGCACAGCGACAAGCCCTGGGATCCGGCCGGGTCTTGGTTTCAGGTCCCAGTGACAGGGGAACCTTCACCCCACAGTGTCCCTCCCTGAGGGTGGCTGAGAGGTGCCTAGAGTGAGCCGGTCGCAGCCCGGGAAACAGGTGCCTCTGTGGCCACTGCGCGTGTCACCTCCTCAGCGCTGTGGACGTGTGGCAGTGTGGGGCTGTCCTTCTGTCACCTCAGCACTGTGGACGTGTGGCAGTGTGGGGCTGTCCTTGTGTCACCTCAGCACTGTGGACGTGTGGCAGTGTGGGGCTGTCCTTGTGTCACCTCCTCAGCGCTGTGGACGTGTGGCAGTATGGGGCTGTCCTTGTGTCACCTCCTCAGCGCTGTGGATGTGTGGCAGTGTGGGGCTGCCAGGGCACTACACTGTGTTGAGCAACCTCTTGGGGCCCAGCTGTTGGGTGCCAGAAGCAGGGATGGCCCTGGTCCCTGCCATGCCCAGTGAGCCCCAGGGACTGTTCAGGTGGAGAGCCACTCTCTGCCAGGGAGCAGATGACTGCGCTAATCCGATGTGGGAAGCTGTGCCCCTGTGAGGTGCAGTACCAGCTCCAGTAAAGCACAGCCTGGGAGAGCCGCACCTGAGGCCAGCGGCCAGGGGTCACGTCTCCAGCAGGACAGATGGAGCTGGTCAGCCCTGGGTGGCACAGAAGCCCCATGGGCATCATGAGCGCCCGCCTCGTCCCGGCGCTGGCGCTGCAGAGCTAGAGTGGGTTCCACAAGCAGCCGTATCTGTGGAAAATTCCAATGGCGCTGGCGCTGCACAGGGCTG